GACAATGGTGGAGCAGGTTTAAAACCCAGGCAGTAGAATTCATGTGTAAAACCCAACAAGAGCACCTATCTCATCAATCTGTTCCCTATGGCTATAGAAATTACTATATTTAGGCCCCCCTGAGATAATCTGGCCTGGCCTTCCCATGTGAAGATCCTTAATTCAGTCATACCTACAAAGATCCTTTAACCATAGATGATGACATGCCAGGTTCTGAGGATTAGACCGTAGCGATCTTTGGCACCATTACACAGCCTCCCACCATCTCCACCATCTCTTATCACCTGGATTCCATTTGTCTTTGGTCTGTCCCTTTCTTGGGGTCCTGTTTACATTCTCCCTTGCAGGAGAGCAGTCCTGCTTCATATTTTCTTCTGGAATCTGAGCTCCTCAAAGGCAGGAACTTTGGCTGATTTACCATCCTGTCTGGGGAGTTGGGCCCATACAAACAGCATAATAGTGGAAGTGATTCTATTGAGTGAGCTAAAAATTTCCCTTGAGGGCATCAGAAACTGCTGTGGCAGGGAAAGAGCCAGTGAATGGTGACACCCCAATGAACAACTTTTCTTTTCTCTGAAGATGAGGAGCAAGTGATTAGCTAACCAGGGCTTGCTTTACCTTAACACTTCCGTCAGCCCACTGCTGCCAGTCCACATGCTGAGTAGGTGAGTGGAGAAGAAAGTTGGCTGGCCTCACTAGTGCCTTTGATTCATCGACTTATTCATATGTTTATTGACTATCTGCACATGTTAATAACACTGTTAGCTGGGGCAGTTGTGGCCTTAGGAACCTTTTTTTGGTGCCATGTGGGAAGATGTTAGGAGATGCCTGTGTGTGTGTGTGGGCCACAGGCAAATTCCCAGTCAATGAGGAAGTATACAAAGGGGTTCAAAAGAGCTGGGCTCAAGTCCTAATGTTGCTGTTCCCTCAGACAAATCACGTCTCCTCTCTGGCGTGTTCACAGGCATGTATTATTGCATTCACCACATTGTTAAATTGTAATTACTTACAATTTTTGCATACTCCATAGGATGAGTTCGTTCAGGAGAGGACAGTCTATGCCACTGTTTCCCCATTTACTATCTTAGGGCCTAGTGTATACTAAACTCTACTAGCAGTAGTAATACTAGTGCTCATCATGTCTCAGGTTCTGTATTACATGCATTCATGTTAACTCATTTCATCTTTGTTGTATCTCTTAGAAGTAAGAACTATTATTATCCACATTGTGCACTTGAGGAATCTGAAGCACAGAGGTTAATTTGCCTAAAGTTACACAGTTAACAAGTAGTATAGTGCTTGCTTCAGCAGCACATATACTAAAATTGGAATGATAACAGGGAACATTAGCAGGGTCCCTGCCCAAGGATGACATGCAAATTCATGAAGCATTCATTTTTTTCAACTGCCTATGTTGTAGGGTAATAATATCATTAAGTTTCTCTTCTGGAGGGTTAACAACTTAGGTTTACAGACCAAAAAATTAGAGAAAAAGAAGAGCTACAAGACAGCCAACATTTTGGCCCTAGCCTTTCAAGGTCAGTGAGGACTCAGGACATAAGAGAACCTGTACTGTAACACCCTGTAACTCAATGGTGTCCTGTTCAAGGAGAATTTGGGGCCACAGAGGAAAGTGATTGATGATGTAGAGTGTGCCTAAGGAGAGTCACCTAGAGAGAAAACATTTTCTCAGGCTTTCACAGAGAAAATTGGTCAAGCAATGGACATGACTCATCCACATGGCTGACACTAACAAAAGATCTACAAACTGCTGTACATGGTTTCAGGGTAAATCCTGAGGGATTTGACTGACCTTGTCAGATACAAAAGTTACATTTTTTTTGTTATAAAGGTCTTGCTTTATCTTGGTCTTATCCATCTAGCAGAAAAGTATAAACACGAGGTATAAAATGTAAAGCCAAGGCTTTCACAGAGAGCACATTGGCCAAGCAATGGCCGTGACTCATCCACATGGCTGACACTGACAAAAGATCTGCAATTTGAGGTACAGGATCTCAGGATAAATCCTGAGGGAAATTCATTGACTTTATCAGATCCAAAAGCTACAACTCTTGTTGCATAGGTCTTGCTTTATCTTGGTCTTAACTATTCAGCAGACAAGTATAAAAACGAAGTATAGAAGTAAAGCCATGGTGTTACGTTGAGCTGTAGGGGACTCAGGTCAACAATTTCTGACATTGCTAGTGAAGCGGAAGACCCAATACTATTATGGACTACTGTACTCTTTTAGAATATTTTGCTGAGTTAACATACCTATAATATTCAAATAATAGAACTAAACAAAAAAAGGGGATACAGATGAATGTCCATTTTGTATGTGTATTCAAAATAGTTAGGATAGATATATAGTTACTTTCTTCTAATGAATAGAGGGATTTGTTCTAATAGTGTTTGTAAATAGGATATCATGTCCACATCTTGTACAGCAATTAACCACTAGGAAGAATGTATGCAATATGTTAATTATTGAAACTATCCTACCAATTTGGTTTGAAACTGTCTCATTGCTATTTCTCAATAAAATTATGGGAAAAAATGTAAAGCCATATTAATATGCTGATCTGTAAAAGGCTCAAGTCAACAACTTCTGACATTGTCAGTCCTGTGGATAACCCACTACTAGTATGGTCTACTGGACTACATTGGATTATTTTGCTGAATTGACACACCTACAATATTTGAATGGCAATGGAATACCCATCTCTGACAAAACTAAGCAAAAAAGGGGGGTATAAATGAAGGATCATTTTGTAGTGAAAAAAATATTTATCTGTATATACAAGTTAGGAGCGATATACTGCTTAATTTCTCTTAGTTCATTGAGAAGATTTGTACTAATAGTGTTTAGATAAGATATTCTGTCTGCATCTTGTACTATGAATAACTACTACAAAGACAATATGCAATGTATTACTTTTTTTTCCCTTTTTTTTTTTTTTTTTTTGTGGTACTGGGAGTTGAACTTGGGACCTTGTACTTGCCAGGCAGATGCTTATGCCCCTGAGCTATATCCCCAGCCCCACAATGTATTAATTATTGTAACTGTCCCTGTTTTGAAACTGTCTCATTGCTATTTCTTTATCAATAAAATTAATTTTTAAAAAAGTGGTAGAGTATTTGTACAATTAGTAAATTCAAGGCCTCTACAGAATTCAGACTTAAATTGTTCTGTATAACACAAGGAAACAAAATATGACTTGAGGACCCCAAAAACCTTTAACTCCATTTCCTGTGGGTCTCTAAAATACCTTTCTGCAGACCATAAAAAGGGAGATCTGCTCTATAGCGGCAGTGTGGATCAGAGAACACTGAGGCAGGATGGGGTCTCCTGAGTGAGGGAGTTTGAATTCTGGCTCTGCCACTTAAGTAACCCTGAGAAAGTTACTTAAATTCCTTACATGTCAGTTTCCTAGTAGGTCAATAGGATACTAACACATATTTTGTAGGGAGAACATAATAAACATACAAAAATAAAATAATAATTTATAGAAAAGTAGTTGGCACAGAGGTAACTCCCTACAGAAAGTAGTGGAGTTTAGAATGTAATTACTAGAGTTGAATATTCTTCTGTAGAACAGAGGTTGGTGAGGAGCTAAACTGTTCAACTTCTCAATAATTAAACCCTTTACCCCATGTGTGTATGCAGGGAGTCTTGGGTAAATTGCTGTGGATGGAACAAATATTGGAATGAGTAGCAACCAAGGAGTGAGGAAACTTGTCTGAATACCAGCTCTGCCATCACCTTCCTGTGTGATCTGGCATTTGGCAAGTCACCAATTATCCTTGGGGTTCCAAGATGAGAGAGTGGAATGGGAAGATCTCCAAGGCCTCAATGAATACTACCAGTATAGAACATCCCAAGCCAAGTTCTTCAGTGAGTGAAAATTCATTCAGTATCCATGTCTATTTATCAAAGAAGCAACTGTTTCTCCTTTCCACTGGCACTGCTAGATATCTGAAGTACATACAGGTGAGAGGCAGTTTTGCCTTGGTAGTCTAGGTCCCTCCCTTCTCAAACTGGCAGTGTAGCTCCAAAGAGCCCCAATCTATTCTGGATAAATTTTTTTTAGTCAACAAACATGATACAGATAAAGAAAATGAACAAAATTAAAATCTCCTATAAACCTGTCACCCAGAGATGATCATTATTAACATTTTGGCAAATATCCTTCCAGATACTTCTTTATGAATTTTTATTAAAAATTAGACTTAGTCAAATCACCCAGTTTTTTTTTATACCTAGTATATTAAAAAAAAAAAAAAAAAGCCCAACTCACCCCAGAACTTACACATAGGACTGCCTAAGTCAGAAATTGGGGAGGTCAGGGACAGCCACATAAAAGAAATGTCCAAGTGAATTACAGGACAAATATGAGTGAGCTGAACAGTGTTTCATACACAGGGAACAGCATCTGAGAAGACCAAGAGGCATGGCACTCTGAGAACAGAAATAGGTTCTGTGCTACTAGAGTTTGCAGGGTAGGTAACAGTAGATGAACTACAGAGATCTGCAGGAAATAGATGTGGAGTGGCATTAGTTTATTCAGGCTGTTACAACAAAATGCCAAACACCAAGTGACTTACAGACAGCAGAAGTTTGTTCTTCATTCTGGAGGGTGGAAGTCCAAGATTGAGGAAAGCTGGTAGCTTTCATGTCTGGTGAGGGCCCTTGTTTCCTACGATTGTCAACTCCCTTAGTCCTATGAGGGGACTAATCACCTTCTAAGAGGTTCCACTTTCTGATGCCATCACTTTGGGGGTTTAGGTTTTACATATAAATTTGGGGGGTACATAAACATTCATATCACAGCTAAGTGACAAGATCTGTATTTTAAGAGCACCTTGCCTTCAGTATAGAGAATGGATCACAAGGGCAAGAATGGAGACTGTGACACATTAGAAAGCCACTACTGTCTCCTAAGTGAACAATACATGTGTGGCCAAGAGTGGGTCAGCATCAGTGGAAGTGGAAAACGAATGAAAGGTCATTGAAAAGGGAGGGAGGACAGGACTTAGTGACTGGATAGTAGGATGGATAGAACAAAGCTTTAAGGATGTCTCTGACCTGAGAATGTAGAGCCGAGTTGCCCTCTGGATTTGGGATTGGAAGACAATGCATTCAACTTGGGTCATGCTGAATGTAAGGTTCCCCTTGGACAGAGGTGGAGGTATGAATACCTACTCAGCTGAGGTCTGGGCTGCATGTGGCTGCGGGCCCTGAAGACTTGGAGGGATGAGAGAGCTCAAAGAACGCTAACTCTCACGGGATAGGAAAGGGATTCAGGAGCTGTAAAGAGGCTCTAAAGGGGCAGCCAGAGACAGGAAGAAAACCTAGGATACCTGCTGTCCTGGGGACTGAAGGAAAGGAACTGGCCTTCAGTGGTCACTTTCTCAGGGGCTCACCTCATTTAATTCTTCCAAAGACCGGTGAAGTGAGGGTCATGATGATGCAATTTCAGAAGAGGAAACTAAAGACCACAGAGGGGAGGTAAATTTTCTAGGGTCATCCAGATCAGTGGCAGAGGCTTCTTCAGTCCAGGCTACACCAGCTGTGCCTGAACCACTAACAAGCCAGCCACGGAGAATGTGAGAATGTGCCCTCCATTGGCCTGCACCACTGCCTAGCATTGTGTGAGGGTTAACCTCCATTATTTCTAATCCTCACAAGAGTGTGTGATTTGTACCCCAAGTATACGGACGAGGTGCCCGCAAACCGAGAGCCAGTGTGTTGAGGGGTCCAACGTCACATAACGTAGCAGATAGGCATTTCTATATCCCAGCCTTGGGTCCTCTGCGGCGGCGGTACACAACGCGCGAAAGGAGGCGGTGCCTGCGGCGGGAACACCTCGAGGCGCACCCTCCCCCCCCGCCCGGCCCTCGCCCCCGTGCATGCCTGGCCGCTGAGGCGTGAGAGCCACCGCCCCGGGCCCTCCCTCCCGCGCGCCTTGCTCAACCGGCCCAGATAAGTGCTGCGTCTCTGGGCAATTACCGCCTCCCGCCGCCGGGGCTGGCTGGGCAGAAGGCCAGAGGCCGAGGGACTCACAACCACCCAAGGAGAGAGGTGCCGGCCGGCCCCGGGGCCACCAAGCGGCGCGCGATTTCACAACGCGAGGACGCGGGGCGGGGGCGGAGCGACGGCGCGGTGTTGTGACGTCATAACGGGAACCCCCATCAGGTCCCGGGGAGAAAGCCTTCGGGCGCCAGCGGCAGGCTTGCGTTCCTTTCTTTTTTCTTTCTCGCCCTCTGACATCGCTTTTCGTTTTTACCCCTTCCGGTCTCGTTTGTTTTTCCTTTCCCTTGTTTTCAATCCCCTTTCCCTTGTTTTCAATTCTCTTCCTCTCCATTCTTCTCCCCGTTTACTTGGAACCTTTAAAAACTATTT